TTTTATTTATCTTAATAATAAATATTTGAAAAATAGAAACAAATAAAATCTTATTTGAGTGTCGATATGATGAAAATGATTTATGTCGTTTAGAATGATTTGATCGTATTAAACAAATTATTATTTATTCATCTAGTCTTATTTTATCTAATGATAAACCAAATCGACCATTATCTCATCTATCATCTCTATATCTAAATAAATATAAGATTTATTTTAGTAAAATCAACTATAAATGGATAGAAATGTAAATTACCTTATAGAATTAAAAATAATTTAAATCATATTTTTTTGTTGTTATAAATATTCATCGAATGCAACAAAATGTCAAACAACAAATGGATTCGAAAATGAATGTCAACAAGGTTTCATTCGACTTTTTTATTCTCTGATTTAAAAAACGAAAAAATTTTGTTGTTAAGGTAAATATGAAATGTTATTACTAGAAAATGTCCAACATCGACTATTTATAACATCAATTATAAATTCAACAAAAAATTCAATTTGTTTAACATATTATTATTATTTAACTGAAAACAAAACTGTTTTATTATCAACTTATTATCTTAATCAACAAGGTCAAAGAATATTAATTGATAGAATTTATCATATTCGATTTAATGGATGGAATTTTGATCAACAATATTTCACTACAAAGTCAAAATCATTTCAACTATTTTCAACGTTTTTTTTTTTTTGTTCATTTAAAAATGTTTAGATTATATTTGAAATATATCGTTATGAAATGTCAAATCCTTCTCAACCATTTTATGTTGCTTTTGATCAAATTACTTTAATAGAACCTATTTATGGTTTATCAAGATTTTTTTAAAAAATTTTATCGTTTTTTTTTTCTTTATTTTAGGAGATACTTTTTCATTAGATAAAATAAAACATAATCTACTATTTGTATGATATATAGATATATATATGATTTTAAAATAAATTTTTTTTTTATTTTAAACTTTATTTCAAAGTTGGAGAATGATGAAATATCTTCATCAATTTATCCTGATAGTATAACTCAAACCGATTATTTACTCAATATAACAGAGTAAGTTAACATTTTATTTATTTATGATTGATAGAGAATTTATATAATATAGAATAGAATTCAAAATCGAATATATTCTATCATTTTCGACACATATAATGCACCTTCAATTTTATCATATAAGATTTGTTTTTATTTTAAATAAATAAATCGAAATGAAAACAAATATATTTATTCTATTCTCAATTTATTGATTAAACACAAATAATTTTATTTCGATTGATTCATTTTATAGTCAATTTAATAAAGAATCGACTCGATTTTCAACTATATTTCGAGATTCATCTCAACAAGAATAATATTCAACTGATGGTCAAACTTCAATAACTGATTCACAACCAACAAGAACAACTAGTACGACTAATGATTATATTTATACTCTTGATTATAATTATTCTATTGGTAGTAGAAATAGTATAATTAGTACTACAACTCAAAGTACGAATTACCTATTAAATTCATTTTTCGATAAATTATATTTCGAATTATAGTTAATCAATAAACTCCATATGATTAACAATGTAAATAATTCTCGTTTGAAATAAATAATTTAATAAAAAAAAATCTATATTGTTTAGATGGTTTAACAACAATTCTTGGTCTTTCAATTGGTAAAGGAATTCCTGCTGCATTAGGAGTTATTGGATTTATAATTTATATTATAAAAAAAATCGAAAATCGAACTAAAAGAGCAGTTAGACCTATAAAAGATGTTGATAATCATCGTTCAAAAAAATGAAAAGATATTGATTTAAAAAAAAAGTGACATGATCATCATAATCGTCATCATCAGAAAAAAACAAATCGAACAAAAGAAAATATTGTTTAACAAAAACACACCATTTATTCAATTTATTCTAGATTAAATAAAATGTTTTCTTCATTGATCTTTTAAATCTCTCACTATTTTTATTTAATATAGAAGAAAAAACAATTTCTTTTTTTTTTAAATTCTTTCAATCGATGATCGATAGATTTTTTTTTTTCGAATTATTTTATTTAATTTATTTTAACAAAAATATTTCCATTATTAACTAATCTATTAAATATTGTCATTAATCATTTTGTTTTTCTTCATATATTTAAATAAAACTAGTTATAATCGTTCTCTTTTTATTTTCAATATAAAGACAACGATCAACAATTTTTTATTTATTTTTCTATAGTTAATCATTATGATAAACATTCAACTGAAATATTTATCTTTAATTAATTAATATTTTCTTCAACATATATATATTGAAGAAAATTCTTTTCTCTCAATAGTCAGTCAAAATAAATAAATTTTCTATAGATAATTATAATATGTTGAACATTAATTTTTGACGTTAATCTAATCTATCTTGAGATAAAGATATAAAGAGATAAATAAAAATTGACAAATGAGGATAATATACTGTAATCAATAGATAGAGATTTGTTTATTCTGTCAATAAACATATGATATATCTCATTCTGATTTAAACCCCCCGACACATTAGAAAACCCGGGGTCTTCTATTCTGTCTTACCGTTCATAAGTTAAAAGGGGGGGGGGGGTCTTCTATTATGTCCCTAAAAAAGGTCATATTTTTTGGCAGTTTTGCCAAAAAATCTTCCTTTCATTTGATTTTTGTCCCTGATATCGTTAACAAATGAGTTTTTTTCTACTTATTTCAATTGTGCAGGGTAAAAAAAAGCAAATATTATCTCGTGAGAAAGGGGAGACCATAGTGCATAAGAAGTATTCTTAGCAGATACAGTCATTGTATCCCAACATTTTGGTACGATATCTGTTAGCGTTCTTTTTTAAGGATAAGATCTATCACTGCAATATTTTATCTTCTCGATAACTAAATAAATGCAAAAAAGAAAATTAATTTTTTTATCAAAATCATTTAATTCAGTTACTTATGTGAAAGTTTGATTAAGCCCTTCCCCCTCCCTCTTACCACAGAATGGAAGTCCAGGGTGTGTTCCTGTTCCGCAAGCTATAACTTTGCAACGATGCATGTTCCGATAAGAGTTTTTGCGTTATTTGATAGAAAAATGTTTATTCTTTCATTGTTCATCGACTTTAGTTCATTTTTCATAACGCGAACCTCGATTGTCAATGGAGAATTGTAACCCACCGGATGAAGTTCTATTCTGTGAGGAAAGAAGTTTAGTATAGATGGAAATCGTTTACAGTCCGTTCTCCTACCAGCGTAGTTATAAATCTCAAGTTAACTTCGATAAGTATGATTGTCTTATTAAAAATTATTTATAGAAAATCTGTAGTTGAATATACAATCCGTGTTTTCTTTTGCATCTGTCTCGAAGATGCCTTTGGGTCTTATGGAGAAAAGAAATAGGTTCGCAAACTCTAAAGAAGTATTCATATATAAAACCATGATGTACCTACATGCAGTTATATTTTCTTTTGTTATGGAACACTGTTTTGTGGTTCAAATGCTTCTGATTCTCTAGAAGAAAGTCGAAGATAGAGAGGTCTTTGTATTAATACACATCAACATTTTACCTAATCTTTTACTAATGTGTAAAGATCTCTTCATGCATTATACGTGGAAAAACCTACCGTACTCATTAGATCCTGTTTCTGTGAAAGCGTATTTTTCATGCATAGAAACTGAAGAATATTTATAAACTAAGCTGCAAAGGAGTACTGAAATTACTCCACAAGATGTTGTTAACAAAGGAACACAATCTTTAATAGATAGATCTTTCCTATAAACTACTTCACAAGATTTCACTCGCTCGGATTTGACACTTTGCTATAAGAATGAAAGGAAAATCTTTTTCGTATTGAATTTAGACATAATTATGAACTTAAATACTAAAAAAGTCAATAAAATTCAGGAACTATTTTAAAATATCGGCTTTTTAAGGGGAGTCTTCTAATATGTCTGTTGCGTCATTGATTCAAGGTGGGTCTTCTAATATAGGGGGATCTTCTAATATAGGGGGTCTTCTAATGTGTCGGGGGCTTTATATATATAGAAATAGATTAATATAAACATATAACTTCTATTGATAGGAGTTATTTTATAAATGAATTATATTTATTTATAGATTTATTTTCTCTGATTGTTAACCGATTTAATTCTTATATGATTTTATATCGAAATGTTAACGATAATTTAAAATCGTATAATTATTTCTAATCAAAGGAGAATTAAAAAAATTCTCGTTCGAATAGATATTGATTAAATAAATGTCAACAGTTAATATATATTATATTAACTTCAATACTCCGATTGTTATTAATTAACCTCTCAACGATTTTAATTAATAAATGAATAAAAACAATATTTTATAATAAGATTAGAGTTAATAATGAGAATAAAAATAATAAAAACAATCGAAATTCGTTAAGATTTCTTATTATTAAACCTTGTTAAATAATGATTATATATAATTAATTATTCTATTAGTGTTAACAATATTGATTATAATATTATATTTAAATAAGAGGTTTGATAATTCTTCATAGTATTAATATATAATATAAAAAAAGAGAAATTTATTTCTAGGATATATTCAACTATTTTTATAGAAATATATTCAACTCTTAATTATATATTTAACTGATATATTTATTATTCCAAAGATTAAAAGAATATTCTTAGGAAATTTTCGAAGATTTATTTAAAAAGTTTCTTGTGGTTTTTTTTTAGTAGTTTATTCTATATATTATAGAAATTGAATATAGATTCTGATTGTTTATCTAACAAGAGTAGATATATTCGATTTTTTTATATAAAATATTTAATTTAATTATAGTTTTATCGTTAACTAGAGTGTAAATAAATGAAAAAAACATTCGTTTAGAGAATAAAAGAGTCGAAATAATAAATAAAAGGAATAAAATATTTTATTTAAAATATCTTCTAATATATAATATAAAATAATCTCATTTTAAAATAGTGATAAAAAAAGTAGGAGTTATCTATAATGATAAATAATCTTGTCAAATATATATTTAAAAATCTTGAATAAATTTCTATTATTTAATTAATGATTCCTTTCCCACCCCTAAAACAAAATTTCTTTTTTCTGACCATCCAATCTTGATGAAATTTTCAGCGGAGGTGTATCTTGGGCTATGTACCTTACAACAAAAATTTCAGCTCGATATATTGAGTGTACGAAGAGCTAGCTTAAGCTTATGGGTCAAAATTTACGTTTCCGTGTGTCCGAAATTTCTCCGCCACTTTAAATGCTAGAAAGTTCGGGTTGGTTTTAAAATGTAGCTCAGACATGACGCTACAACTTAACAGGGACCGATTTTTTGTTTTTTTCCTAATTTGTGTTTCTAGAAGACTTCTCTGGTAAAATACAAAAAACCCAGGGGTGTAGGTCCGGAACAGTTAGTTTTCAATAAACATTAAGGACAAAATCAAAATATCCGGCTCCGTTAAGTTGTAGAGCTAATTTTTGTCTTTATTTTGACACCAAGCCCAGCTTTCTAGAGTTTAAAATGGCGGAGAAATCTGGGACGCACGGGAACGTAAAGATCAAAAATCTTATTTTGAGAAAAAAGCAAAACTTTTTAGAAAAAACGTTATTTTCTCCTACGGGAGGTTGAGAAAAGCCTGTGCAATATCCTTAAATCTGATCATAAAATCAATAAACGATAGTGCATTCGAAAGTAGACACTTAGCCCTATATAACGAGCTATAAATCACAAAATCGACAAACTTGACCAAAATTGACATTTTTTAGGGAGGTCTTAACCAATAGAAAGGTTTTCTTCTTTGTAGATCATCGTTCAAATTCATTTATCATTTTTATTTTATTTCGATATTTGTTTGAATTGTTTTTTATTTGAAAATCAATATTCGAATATTTTTTTTTAACATGGTTAATTAACAAATAAATAAAAGAGACATAAAGTAAAAAAAACAAACGCATATCAATCTATATGATAAAATCGAAATAAAATAACGAAAAGAAATGAAAAGTGGAGGAGAAAGGAAGAAAGACTAATATTGGTTATGCTTGATTAAACATATATTTATCAATAATAATGAGAAAAAAAAAACATACATACGAAATATTTTATGATTAGTTAACAATATGAAAAACAATATGCGTTTTATATTTAATTTATTTATTGAGAAAAATTTTTGTTTATTTAAAGATTTTTATTTAAATATTCTTTATTTATTTATTTATTGAAAAATAAAAATAAATTTATGGCTGAGTATTGAGATATATCGAAATATATTCTTTTTCAAATATATATTATTTTTATTTAGAAAAAATGTTAAAGATCCAATTGATAAATCATTAATAATTGTTATTATTATTGTTGTTTTTATATTAATTGGAGTTATCATTGCTATTCCTCTTATTTATGTTAATGGAAGAGATCAAGGTTGTTTTTTTAACAAAATAAGATAAAGAATTTTTTTGTTTTTTCGATTATATTTCTAGGAGAATCTATCGGACAGAATCTAACAAATATTTCAACAGGTATATATTAAAAAAGAAATAAAATTTGATATTTTTTTGTTAAAAAAGGATATGTGAAAAATGAATGTACACAAACAATGAAGGATGTTAAACCAATAACTTATTTATCAAATGAAGAACCATTTCCATATAAATTTCATAGTTATTTATATCGTCCAAGTGTTATTTTAAAAAAAGTTGCTTTAATATTTGGTTTTAATCATGATAATAATTCTTGGTCATTAGATTTTATTAAATTTGTTGATACAACAACAAAATCTGATTTAATTCGTGATGGAAATTTTGAAGAAAATTATTTAAGAAAATATTATTATCAATGTATTTTATCAAATACACGAAGTTCAATAAGTGATATTTTATTTGATATACCTTATGAACAAGATTTTTATTATAATGATCAAACGAAAGTTGGAATGACTTATTTAATTCAAAATATTGATGTTATTGGAGGAAGATATTATAATATATCTTTTTATCTTGAAAATCGAGGTTATCCTGGTAATTATTTTGTTCTTCTTGTTGGACCATTAAATTAAACATTTTTTTTTTTTTATTTTTATTTTTATTAAATAAAAAAGAAAATAATTATTTGAAATAAATAAACAAAAAAGAAAATAATTATTTGAAATAAATAAACAAAAAAGAAAAAGATAAAGTTGAAATATATTTGTTATATAAGTAAAGTAAAGTAAAGTAAAATAATAGATGTATTTACCAAGTTTGAACAGCTTTTTGACAACTATCATAAACAGTTGTATTTTGATTATGATTAGCCCACCATTGTGGAAAATAAACAGATTTATTTTTAAGTGCTGTACTAACAATAATTATTGTTATATTAAGACCAAGATCAAGTCCAGCTGAAACTAAATAAACATGACGTTGTCTCCAACTATATTTTCCAAATGAAAAATAAACAATTAAACCAATAGCAAGCCAAGTAAATAAAGCACCTGCTGGAACAATTGATGGCATCCAACCAATAGTTACAAATATTAATGGCCAATGTAATTTATTTAACCAATGAAAACGTTTAAATCTTGATAATATCCATGAAGGTATTGGTATAAATGCTCCAAGAATAAAAGCCCATAATAAATCTCGATTTGATAAATTCGTTCCATCAAAAAATCCATTATAATCATTTAATAATGTCCAACCAAGTTTTGTATTATTAAATATTGACCAAAGATCTTTTTTATAACCTGATTGAATATAAAAATAACGAATACCAATTGAAAATGTTGAACATACAAAACCAGCAAGACATTGAGCAGCAAATAATGGACGTGGACCTATTTTAATATAATGAGCTAATTTCATATCTTGAATTAAAACTAATGTTTGAACATAAACAATATAACCAAGTGCAATAAATGTATAAATTTGTTTAGCTGATTTTTGTAATGATAATGATTGTCCAATTAATAAACATAAATAATAAACAGATAAATTATGTAATAATTGTCCTGTTATTGATGATACTAAACCAAATGGTAATGTAAATAAAGCTCCTATAAATAATGATAATAAAACATAATACCAACTTAACCATTGAGCATGATCACATGTAACACATGCAACAATTAATGCTAATGAAAATAATTCTAAATAACACCAATCAGGTACTGTTTTATAAAGTGATATCATTCGTGCATGCATATCATTTCCCATATTTTCTAATGTTTTTGTACGAAATTGTTGCCATATATCAATACCATGATATAATAATGTATGAACAAAAACAGCTGTTATACTTGCAAATGATATAAATGCTGTAACTAAACTTAATGCTGTAAAATCTGTTGAGACTTGTCCACCAATTGGTAAAGTTGTAAAGTCTCTTATATTTGTTCCATAAACAATTGGAACAATAAACCATACAATTAATACAAAACCAAATCCAATATTAATTAATGCCCAACCAGGTAATATTAATGGTGAACCAAGATATCTTGTTACTTCATACCAATCTAATGTTAAACCTCCACCAGCAATAGCTATACCACGTACTGCTGTTAATTGTGCTAATGCATTATTTTTTGGACTAATCCAACACATCCATGAAAAATATGCTAATATTGGCATTATATATAATGGAAACCATTCATATACAAATGATAATATTGATATAACAATAAAAAATAATAAACGATTATTTATTAAACGTTCTTTTAAACTATTAGCTCGATTTCCATAAGATTTTTCAGTTATTGTTGATTGACGATCATGAAGTGTACGTAAGACAGCAATTAATGGTAAATTTTGAGGCCAAATTACTTCACATGGCCAAACCAAAAATCGACGAAGAATACCTAGTTTTTAAATTTTTATTCTTTATAGATAACAAAAAAAAACAAAAATAAATATAAATTAACCTGCAAGACCAAATCCAAGAAATTGAATTGAAAGTACAAAAAAAAAATAATATGCAAAATTAACTTTTTCATTTTCAAGTACTTTTAATGTTGTTAATGTTGCATAAATAAATACAGAATTATACATATAAGCAACATTTGCCATAACTAATATAAATCCATGTTCTTTTAATGTAAATTTCGTTGATCCTGGTATAATTAAACTCCATATATATCCTAATGGATAGGCAACAACAATAACTAAAACTGATGATATAAATGGAGCCATATTTTGAAAATTTCCCCATTGATGAAGATAAGACATTCCAATAACAAATATTAAACCAATTGTAACACTTCTTACTGTACAACATTTTTCTTCAACATTATCTTTATTTGAACATGTTCCAGCAACTTCTTCAAATTGTGCCATTTCAGCATCAACATATGCATAACATGTTTCTTCTTCTTTTTTATCAAATTTATCCATATTAACAATTCACTTATTTATATAATATATCTCAAAATAGAAATAAATTTCTTTTTTTTTTAATTATAAATCTTTATTTGATTTAAACAAAATCGAATAAAAACAAAAAGAAAAAAAAGTTGATGATCATGTTAAAATCTATTGTTTAGTTGTAGTCACATGATAAATTGGAAAGAAAAAAAAAGCTAAGAGAAATATAAGGTAGATAGAATGAATAAGGTGCTTTTATGAAATAGTCATTGAAATAAACAATTGACATATTCATATTACCTTAACATATGTTATTCATTTATAAAACGATTCATTTTATCGATGTCAACTATGGAAATAGTCATAAAAATAAATCAAAATACCTTTCGTCTTTCTTTTTCTTTTTCTTTCGTTTCATATTAACGTCTCGGTCGGCTCAATAAATAAACGCATGAATAGTTACACTAATGATCATATCTAATGTATTTCGTCGTTGTTTTTTTCTTGATTAATCAAAATAATTTATAGAATTTTTTTTTTCAAATATTTTATTCTATTCACTAAAATACTATTCAACAAATTTTATATTCAACATTTTTTTTTTGCATTAGATAAATAAAAAAACAAAAAAAAAAAAATTTCAAATCTTCTTTATTTATTAAAATAAATAAAAAATCGATTTTTTTTATATATAATGAATAGATTTTAAAATCATAGAAAAAAAAAACACGGCAACTTTTATAAAATTATAATCAATTTAAATCTTTCCAAGGTTTAAATAAATCTATTTATTCCTTATGTTAATTAAGAAAAAAAATCTCTTTTATTATAGATTGGTTCAAATTCTATTCCATTATTATTTCGATTAATTAGAAATTTCACGGATGGATCTACTATTTTATGGAACTGACATATATTTTAGAAGAAAATTACTCACTGAAACTTTTAAGGTCACCATTTCCCCTCTCCCCTTTCAGACACATGCTAACGTAAGGCCTCATTACAGACAGATCTCCATTAGAGACCTCATCAATTAAGAATAAGGGGCGTCAGACTTTCTAGGTTTTTTTAAAAATTGATAAAGTTAGAATTTTGAAAGATAATTCAGATGATTGTTTGTCAGTTGGTAAATATATATTATAGTAAATAAGATCTCATCTAGATATAATGAATATGTAAACGAGATATATTTGCCAATTAATTCAATGATTATTATAATAAAAATGTTAAATTAAGAAAAATGATTATTAAAAAATGAAAGATAATCAGCGAATAGGAACGAATGATAAATAAAAATAGGATGCTCTCAAACCAAAAAAAAAATTTCTCTTTTAAATGTAGAAATAAATAATAAAGTCTCATTCTTCTCATTGATTATCAATGAAAAGAAGTAGAGTGTAAAAGAAATTTTTCAGTTAAGATATTATCTATTAGAATATAAAGGTTTAAGAATATATATCAGTTTCATATATCGCCTCTAAATCAGTTCCGCTAACAACCTTTTCGATAGTAGGTCCCGTTTTCGAAATAATATCATTTGAGCTAGTAGGAATTTAAATCGAAGTAGATAATAAGTAGTCATAGAATTTTCTTCGAATTGTTTATTTTGGTTAAATATAGGATATATAGAAATTGATCAGAAAAACAGAACCTTTTTTTTGTTTTCAGAGAAATTTTATCAGTAAAATCTAAAAAAGGAACCGACGATTAGATATTAGAAATTGATCAATTTCATCATCAATATTTCAATAATAAATCTCAATAAATCTCAATAATAGCTAATTGATGAAGTCTTGTTTAAAACATGGTCGAACCAAAATAAGTCTTGAATTATTTTAGTATAAAGAATGTTTGTTTTCTATTTCTTGTTCTGATTGTTCTTATTGTTAAGATTTTGAATAAAAGTATTATGTTTGGATAAAATCCTTGAGAATAATTATCATAGACATAAATAATTCAATCTGGTTAAAATAAATCTTCTCTACCTTTCATTTTTATTCTAGTTATATTCATAATTGAACAAAGTTAGAATCCAGTCGAACTACTTTCTATCAGAATTTCTCTCCATCGTTTTTTATTCCATAAAGTAAATTGAAATTTGATTTGATAAGGTGAATTAAGTAGAAATTTGAAATAAATTTCAATTTTTGGAGGTAAATTATAATTATTTGATATGATGAATATATTGTAAAAACTCTCATATATATATATTTGTTTTATCCTTTTCTCTTTAATTATAAATTTTGTGGATAGATAGTTTATTGTGTCTTGTTATAGTTATATCCTGATGGTGATTAATTGATGATTGTCAAGAGTTGAAAATAAAAATAAGAATTTTTCTTGAAAATTTCGAATGGTTTTTCTTGCACTAGTTTATTTAATAATAAATGTTATTTATTGAAAAAGATCGAAATGTTAGATAAAATAATTGACTCCCTAAATATTTCATTTCTGTAGGATATGGTTAATGTATTTCGATGAAGATTTATTCGAAAGATAATATAGTTATAATAAACTATTCAAAATCAAAAGATAAAATAATAAGATAATTATTTATTTATTTGAGATTTAATCGTTGATTTTATTTCGGCGATTGTAAATATTTGTTTTTTTATTGATTAATCTTAAACTATGTTTGAATAAAAGTGCCGACGAATGGTAATTATGACTAATTCCATATTTCTACTTATTGTTATTACTCATCCGAAAAACTTTATTA